TTCTCCTTAAGATTTCATTTTCATGAGAGAGATTTTCTACCCTGTCCAGTAAGGATTTCTGTATTTCAAGAATTTGTTTTTGAGAACTTCTTAAGTGTTCTTGTCATAAATATTTTGATATCCATTTCTTGCATTTATTCTATCTCTTCACCTTTATAATCTTGAATTGGGGTGTCTTATTCATTTGGGGGCATCATAATGTCTTCCTTGTTCTTGTTTCCTCAGTTTCTGTATATGTTGCTTGGAATTGTGGAGATATTCTTTGGTTTCTTTTTTTTTTTTTTTTTGATGTGGTGGTTTTTCTCATTATACTATCACTCAATTAAGTGGACTGGCTGCTTTTGATGGATCCTTAGAGGCTTGTGATGGGTGTCGCCAAAGAGCTATGTTTGGTTCTTCAGGTTTAACGGTGACACTCCCAGGTAAGGCATGGTAAATTTTCTCTCTTCCTCTCTCTCTCTCTCTTTTCATTCAGAAGGGATTAATTCTGCACAGCTGAGCAGAATCGAAGGCAGTCAGTGTCTGAGCTCTGGCCCCTGTGGGTATTATATTTGTCTGCTCTACCCCAAGGACCACACAAAGGATCTGTGCAGTCCTCAGTGTAAGCTCAGTTTCCCCTGCAATCTCCCACCAGATTGCTAAGATTGCCAAGTTTGGGGTGTCTCCTGAGAGTACTCACTCTCAGGCACTCCATGAATTCTCACACACCCTGTTTTTTTTTTTTTTTTTTCACAGTCACAGTTCATAAGCTCCACACATTCACTAGGTCCTAACCTCCTGTTATTTCTCCCCACCAGAGTCAGGTTTTTCTGCTTAGCTGAGGGCGGGCGCAACCCTGAGGTGGTGCAGCTTTTATGTATGCCCAAAATGGTGCCTGCTCTTTGTCTTGCTTGCCTTTGTAAGGTGAGTGGAGAGAGAGAATTGTGTCCTTACAGGTTTATTTTATTTTATTTTTTTCTCCTATTTAGCCTGTTGGACTTTCCCCCCCCCATGGCTTCAAACCTCATTCCCTCTAGGCTCTTCCTGCCACTTCCCCGCCTTTGTTTTGTGCTACTGAGGTTTTGTCTCACCTCCCTTTCCTGCGGTGGTGTGTGTACTCGGCAGCTGGGGTCCTGATCTGTGGGCACCCATGCCCTCCACGTAGGTCCACCATGTCCCACTAGTTCTGGAAGAGTTTCTTCTGCAGTTTTTTCCCCTAACTCTTCACTGAAACTACAGTGTTTCCACTTTTATTAAACTATCTTTTCCTGGACTATCAGTGTGCTCCCTCCCTATTCCACCATCTTGGAGGACTCCTGCCTCCTGTATTCTAATAGTCCTTCTTGGTAGCTCAAGGAAGTTTTGCCAGGATCTCTGTAAAAAAGATGAAACAAATTATTTTTCAGGAGAAAAGTGCTTTGTGTAGTGTCACATGATTTGTAAACACCTGGCACCCTAACTTCTGTCTAATGTTCTCTATCTTGCCACACTTAATTAAAAAACATTTATTTTCAGATCCATTTCAGAAATTGTCACCAGTTCAAATAGTACTGCTTTAGAAAACTTTCCTGAGCATGTCTTCCCTTTTGCTACTAATGCTATGTTTGGAGTGTGTGGCTTCAAAAAGCATATCTTGAGGCCGGTGCTGTGGCAGAGTGGGTTAATGCCCTGGCCTGAAGTGCCCACATCCCATATCAGAACGGGTTCAAGACTCGGCTGTTCCACTTCTGATCCAGCTCTCTGCTATGGCCTGAGAAAGCAGTAGAAGATGATCCAAGTCCTTGGGTCCCTGCACCCACATGGGAGACCTGGAAGAAACTCCTGGGTCCTGGCTTCAGTTGGTGCAGCTCTGGCCATTGCAGCCATTTGCAGAGTGATCCATTGGATAGAAGATCTCTCTCTCTCTCTCTCTCTCTGCCTCTCCTCTCTCTGTGTATCTTTGACTTTCAAATAAATAAATAAATCTTTAAGAAAAACAAAAAGCATATCATAAAATTTTTCCCCCTTTCAGTCATTCTTCTTGAACAATATGCAGTATACATGCAGCTACAGAAAATTACTGTGAACCTTTATCCTGCTTTCTGAGATAGTAAAATTATATTAAATTAGATTTCATGTGATCATAAGCTTCTTAAAATATAAACCAAAAGAACACAGTGACCATATATAAGCCTAAATGTGAAGAACAATCTTTTGGTCTCCAGATAATTTATTTGTGTGAATCTCAGGACTTTTTTGACAGGCAGAGTTTGTGAGAGACAGAAAGGTCTTCTTTCCATAGGTTCCCCCTCCCCCAAATGGCCGCTATGGCTGGCATGCTGTGCTGATCCAAAGCTAGGAACCAGGTGCTTCCTCCAGGTCTCCCATTCGGGTGCAGGGCCCAAGCACTTGGGCCATCCTCCACTGCCTTCCCAGGCCATGGCTGAGAGCTGGAATGGAAGAGGAACAACTGGAACAGAACCACTGTCCCAACCTGGACTAGAACCTGGAGTACCAGTGCTGCAGGTGGAGGATTAGCCTAGTGAGCCACAGCACCAGGCTACATACTATCTCTTCAACAGGCAGGCCCCAGGGTTTTTCAGAAGATAATTGTCAGAAAAAGAAAATCTGAGAAGGCAAATACTTTACAAATTGTCTATTTCTGGGGCTGGTTCTGTGGCATAGCAGGTAAAGCCACCGCCTGCAGTGCCAGCATCTCATGTGGGTGTCAGTTTGAGACTCAGCTGCTCCACTTCTGATCCAGCTCTTTGCTACATCCTGGGAAAACAGTAGAAGATGGCCCAAGACCTTTGGCCCCTACTCCCTTGTGGGAGACCTGAAAGAAGCTCCTGGCTCATATCTTTGGATCTACACAGCTCCAGCCATTGCAGCCATCTGGGGAGTGAACCTGCAGTTCAAAGACTTCTCTTTCTCCTTCCCTCCCTCCCTTCCTCTCTCTCTCTCTCTCTTTTTCTCTGCCTCTCCTTCTTTCTTTGTGTAACTCTTTCAAATAAATCTTTTAACAAATTGTCTATTTCTATCACATTTACTGGTATCTCATGGGGTAAGTCAAGTGAAATTCAGGGTCTTTTTTTAGAAGATTTATTTATTTTTTAAAGAGTTGTACACAGAGAGAGGGAGAGGCAGAGAGAGAGAGAGATGTTCCATCTACTAGTTCACTCCCCAGTTGGCTGCAATGGCCAATGTTGTGCCAATCCAAAGCCAGGATCTAGGAGCTTCTTCTGGTCTCCCACATGGGTACAGGTGCCCAAGGACTTGGGCCATCTTCTACCACTTTCCCAGGCCATAGCAGAGAGCTGGATCAGAAGTGGAGCAGCTGGGAATCGAACCAGTGCCTATATGGGATGCCAGTCTACAGGCAGAAACTTTACCCGCTAGGCCACAGTGCCAGCCCCAATCCAGGGATTTGTGAAGGGAAAAGGTCTATTTAGAATCATTACTGGTAAAGTACATTGCATTAAATATACATTCTGTGTATTTGTTAGCTTTCTTTAGTATAAATAACGTAATGTTTATCTCTGATAACCTCATTTATTTGAACACTCTTAATATTTCTTTTTATTTTTACACTATTATTTTAAAAATTTGTAGATAATGCTTTCATTAAACCAATGATAACTTGTTTATTCTTTGCCACTTTATAGGTGGGTGCATTTTCCTATGTATTTCCATTTTTACAGGTTTATTCCTCCACAGTAAACCTGATGTTTTCTTGGTTAATGTATTTATTGTTATTTATTCATTCTATCATATTCTTTTTTTCCCACTGTTCAGTGCAGAAGGAAAGGAGAGGTTTTTTTTTTTTTAATATTTCATTTATTTATTGAAAGAGTTGCAGAGAGAGAGAGAGAGAGAAAGTCTTCTATCTGCTGGCTCACCCTCCAAATTACTTCAAAGGCTGGAGCTGAGCTGATCCAAAGCCAAGACCCAAGAGCTTCTGGGTCTCCCATGCAGGTGTAGGGGCCCAAGGACTTGGACCATGTTCCACTGCTTTCTCAGGATACAGCAGAGAGCTAGATTGTACGTTGAGCAGGCAGGACTCAAACCAGCACCCATATGGAATGCTGGCACTGCAGGCAGCAGCTTTACCCATTATGTCACAGTGTTGGCCTCCAGAGTTTCCTTTGAACTCTTGCCATTCACCTTCTCTCCCAGGTATGATTCTGGGTCCTCCACATGTTTCTAAGAGGAAAGAAAATTAATATATCACCTGTAAGTGTTTTTTTTTTTAATTATTCCTCAGCTTGTCAGGTGTTTAATGCTAGTTTATTTATTTATTTTTAGATTTTTTTAAATTTATTTGCAAGTCAGAGTTACAGAGAGGCAGAGAGAGAGAGAGAGAGAGAGTCTTCCATCTGCTGGTTCACTCCCCCATTTGCCACAATGGCCAGAGTTGCACTAATCCAGAGCTAGAGGTGGGGCAGGACTGAAGCCAGGATTGAGGAATGAAATCTAGGCCTCCTTCATTGGTGACATCACCATTGCTTCCTCAGGTCTGCATTATCTGGGAGCTAAAAACTAGAGCTGGCATTGGAAATCAAACATAGACACTCTGAGATGGCATCATAAACACTAAGCTAAATGTCTGCCCTGTCTTTTAATATATTTTTTCTCTGACATATTGGAAATGATATGCATGGTGTTTTCCTGGAAATTATTTTCTGTTCATTCCCATTGTAGTTTCACTGATGGCTTCTTGCCTTTTTTTCTCAATGCTTCTGCATACTTCTCCTTAACATTGCTCATTGAAGAGTCAGTGTTGCCCCTCTTTTAGCCTGCTGTGCAATTCCCCTTGACAGATGTGGCCTTTGTGATTTGAACCTCCTGTTTCCCTCCAGTTTGGGCATTTCTCACAGCCTGTAGATAATGGGTTTGACCCTGTTGAATGCTCTGTGTGGCTTTCTAAACACTCAAGTCTAATGTGAAACCATATCCTTCCTTTTTCCTTCATATCCATACACAACTGTCAGTGTTTGTTTTGTGACAGAGTTAACATGTTGACTGTAAGTGTGATGTTACAGGTGATGATAGCATTTGAAGACCTGGCTGTGTACTTTAGCTGGGAGGAATGGCAGAACATGAACAATGCTCAGAAAATCCTGTACAGAGATGTGATGCTGGAGACCTACAGCAGCCTCTTCTCCTTGGGTGAGTTACACCCATCACATGCCCAGTGATAACATTTTCTTGCTATTTGACAAGCAAGGGAACACTTTATAATGTTTAATATTGGGCAGGATTAGAATTTGAGTCCATGAATAATCTGAATATCTACCATCTAACAAAAGATTCAAATTGGAACATTTGTTGTATAGCTCCTGAACCAAGCTGTAGTCCTTTAAGTAACCCAAGATAGGGATTTCACAAAGTCTTACTTTGTTTCCATTAATAGGGCACTGCATTACCAAACCTGACTTAATTTTCAAGTTGGAGCAAGGAGCAGAGCCATGGATGGTGGACGAATGCCTGAATCAGAGCCTTTCAGGTCAGTCTGCACATAACAGACAGGGAGGCCAAAGCAGAAAGTGTGCAGATGTTGACTGGTATTCTTTCCATTAATTTTTCTCAACCCTTACTCCTGATGACAGCTGGTTTTGTGCATCAGACACAGGCATTTAGAGATACCAGTATCATTCTAACTTTTGTTCTTAGTGAAGATGTTCTTTGATTAAAAAAAATCCAGTCATCTCCTGATGTTACTAAGACTTTTATTTAGGTTTGATACATTCCCCAAATTCTAACTTGTTCTTCTCTATACTTTCATACCTTTTCCTTCATGTACTTACTAGTTCCTTCAGTGCTTGTTAATTAGGCAACATACAGAAACTTATTTTTTAATCTTAATGTTTCTGTGGTTTTTTTTGTTGTTGTTTGTTTGGTTTTTTTTTTTTTTTCTTCTTTTTCTTATTCTCCGACACGCAGAGTGGACAGTGAGAGAGAAAGACAGAGAGAAAAGTCTTCCTTTACTGTTGGTTCACCTCCAATGGCCGCTGCAGCCAGCGTGTTGTGGCTGGCACACTGTGCTGATCTGAAGCTAGGAGCCAGGTGTTTCTCCTGGTCTCCCATGCAGGTGTAGGGCCCAAGGACTTGTGCCATCCTCTACTGCACTCCCAGGCCACAGCAGAGAGCTGGCCTGGGAGAGGGTAACCGGGACAGAATCCGGAGCCCCAACAGGGACTAGAACCAGGTGTGCTGGTGCCACAGGCAGAGGCTTAGCCTATTAAGCCATGGCACTGGCCTGTTTCTGTATTTTTTTTTAAAGATTTATTTATTTATTTGAAAGTCAGAGAGAGAGAAGAAGGAGAGGCCGAGAGTTAAAGAGAGAGAGAGGTCTTCCATCCACTGGTTCACTTCTCAATTGGCTGTCATGGCTGGAACTGTACTGATCTGAAGCTAGGAGCCAGGAGCTTATTCCAGGTCTCCCACATGGGTACAGGGGTCCAAGGACTTTGGCCATCTTCTACTGCTTTCCCAGGCCATAGCAGAGTGCTGGATTAGAAGTGGAGCAGCTAGGACTTAAACTGGTGCCTGTAAGTGATGTTGGCACTGCAGGTGGTGGCTTTACCAGCTATGCCACATTGCCAATCCCCAGAAACTTATTTCTAACTCATTGCTCAGATTGAGTTCCCACTCATGATTGTACCCAGGCATAGAACTTGCTCAGGACTGAATCAATAAATGTGAACTCTGTTTTTTAGTCTCTTTCCTTTTTTTATCCTCTGTGCCTCTCAAATAAATAAGAAAATTATAGTCTGTTGGAAACATTTGAGGAGTGAGCCTATAGTTGGCAAACCTCTGTTTCAGTCTGTCTTTATCTTCCATTCTGTCTCTCTGACTCTCAAGTAAGTAAATAAGGAAATGCTAAAAGATGGTCATGTGGCCAGCACTGTTGTGCAATAAATTAACACCCTAGCCTGAAGCACCAGCATCCCATATTGGGCACCAGTTCGAGACACAGTTGCTCCACTTCTGATCCAGCTCTCAGCTATGGTCTGGGAAAGCAGTAGAAGATGGTCCAAGTCCTTGTACCCCTGCACCCGGGGGAGACCCAGAAGAAGCTCCTGGCTCCTGGCTTCAGATCAGCACAGTTCTGGACGTTGTGGCCAACTGGGGAGTGAACCATTGGATCAAGACCTTACTCTCTCTTTGCCTCTCCTCTCTCTATGTAACTCTGACTTTCAAATAAATAAATAAATCTTTAAAAAAAAAAAAGAGATGGTCATGAGTAAGCCTCTGTGCTGTGACATCAGAAATTATGAAGCTAGGAATGACACTGTGGTGCAGTGTGTTAAAGCTCCAGCCTGCAGCACTAGCATTGCATATGGGTGCCAGTTCAAGTCCCAGCTGGTCCTCTTCTAATGCAGCTCTCTGCTAATGCACCTGAGAAAAGAGAAGAGGTTGGCCCAAGTCCTTGACTCCCTGTACCCATGTGGGAGACAAGATACTCCTGGCTCCTAACTTCATCTTGGCCCACATTGCTTGTTGTGCCCATATGGGGAGTGAACCAGCAGATGGAAGACTTCTCTCTCTCTCTCCATAATTCTAGCTTTCAAATAAATAAAGTAAATCTTTGAAAAAAAGAAATCATAAACTAAGCATGAACTTATATAAAACCTGAAAATAAGTGATCCTAGACTCACCAAGATAGTAATGAGCTTTTGAGACCCAAGGTCAAGTAGCCTCATGGGTTTATTTTGAGTGGCTCAGATTTCATTAAGGGTGGAGTTTGAAGTATGATTTCTCTCTTATTTTTCAGTATCATTGAAAAAGAAGCAAATAAAAAGATAATAAAAGCATAGGAAATGAAGCTTTCAGTGAAAATAGGAGGCAGCTGATCAAAAGCCTCCAGAAATTCAAATTATCACACAGGAATGTTTCTAGAAAGAATTTAGAGGCGGTAACCAGCACTGATGATTTCAGAATGAGCTAGAAAACACTTTTCAAAGAAGATGAGCACATCCCGGTTTGCAGAAACAAATTCTCCAAACTGATTGGGAGTGCTTAACTAAAGTGGTATATTGGGAATTTTCTGTACCTGTTGTACTTCTGAGATGCTTAGGAATTTGGGGAAGCTGTCATAGAGTAGAGACCAAGCAGTTTTTCATTTGAAAAATCCCACAAATGATGTTTACCTAGGAAGACTGAATGTAAGACAATCATAGATTCAAATCATTCTCCTTAAAAGTTGTCCTGCTTAAAGTACAGGCACATTTTACTCTTCTCCACCTGCAAGGAAATGATCACTAAAACTTTTTCATGTTTATGGTTGAGATATCAGAGACGCAAAAAGCACACAATTTTTATAAAAATAAACTGGAGAAAAAGGACAGGGAAAAAATGGTTGCTAGGTAGTGGGTGAATATTTTTATTAAATATTTGTCCATTCTTTAAAATATTTTATAGTTATTTCATCTTTGTGAAAGGCAAAGTGATAGTGAGAGAAGAGAGAGAGAGAAAGAGGTCCTCTATTAGCTCACTTCCCAGATGTCTGCAACACTTAGGTCTAACTAGTCTGAAGCCAAAACTCTAGAATTCATCTAGTCTTTCCTGGTGTATCACAGGTTCCCAGGCACATGAACCATTATCTGCTTCCTCCCAGTTTACATAGGCAGAGAGCTGTACTGAAAGCAGAGTAGCCAGGGCTCAAACTGACACTGTTTTGAGATGCAGGCATCCCACACATCATAGCACAAATGTCATTCTACCATCCTTGACAAATTCCCATAGTAAAAAGGATCATGTTTGAACATTGGGAAACCTCATGGTATATTAATGTATTAAAGAGAAAAACCATATAATGGTCACAAATAAGTACCTCGTACTGATTTTGTGAAAATCTTATGCCACTTGGATAACAAGTAACTTCATTCCCTTTGCATGAGTATGCCAGGAGAAACAGTTACATGTGATTCAGTGACATGATTGCTTTTTTCTCATTTCAGTGGGCATGAAAAGGGATGACCTGATTAGGATCAACCAGGAAAGTCAGGACACAAATCTGAATCAGGATTTTATGAAAAATAACAAGACATCAGCTCTCAAGAGAGTTGAATTAAGAAAGACCCTTACTTTAAATTCAAGCCATATTCCAACACTGATTATTAAAAAGGGAATCTATTCAGGATTGAAGCCTGAGGAATGCAATAAATGTCACACTGTGTATCCCCCCAGTGGGCCTAATCAACTACAGGGTGGAGAGAAATTTGATAACACTAAGTTACCTGGAAAATCTCTCCAGTTCTGTGAGCCTCTTAGTCAGCATGACAATATTCACATCATGAAGCAGCCATTTGGACCCACTGGACAAGCAAAAGTCTTCACAAGAAAGATGTCCTGTAAATCTGAGAGGGTTCATATGGCAGAAAACTGTAATAAATCAACTGTCACTTTTGGAAAAGCAACTCAAAAAGAAAAGGCTATCAATGAAAATTCTAGCCTCAATATGCATCAACAAACTCACACAAGAAAGAAATTTTATATTAGGTATGTTGAACCTGTCATTCACCAATCACATCTTGCAATAAATCAGAGACTAAATACAAGGGAAAAACTTTACACATGTAACCCTTGTGGAAAATCACTCAGTATTAATTCACCTTATGAATGTAATGGCTGTGGGAAAGCCTTTGGACAAAAGTCAGTCCTCAGGAAATGTCAACAAATTCACACAGGGGAGAAACCTCATGAATGTAGTGACTGTGCAAAAGCCTTTACACAGAAATCATACCTCATAAACCATCAGCGAATTCACACAGGGGAGAAACTTTATAAATGCCTTCATTGTGGAAAAGGCTTTCTGTGGAAGTCAGTCCTCATCGTACACCAGAGAATTCACACAGGGGAGAAACCCTATGAATGTAATGACTGTGGAAAAGCTTTTGGACAAAAGTCAAACCTCGTACTGCACCAGAGAATTCACACAGGGGAGAAACCTCATGAATGTAATTATTGTGGAAAAGGCTTTGGACAAAAGTCAGTCCTCATCGTACACCAGAGAATTCACACAGGGGAGAAACCCTATGAATGTAATGACTGTGGGAAAGCATTTGGAAGAAAGTCGCACCTCATATTACACCAGAGAATTCACACAGGTGAGAAACCTCATGAATGTAATTACTGTGGAAAAGCCTTTGGACACAAGTCAGCCTTCCTCACACATCAGCAAATGCACACAGGGGAGAAACCTCATAAATGTAATGACTGCGGGAAAGCCTTTGGACAAAAGTCAAACCTCATCATACACCAGCGAATTCACACAGGGGAGAAACCTCATAAATGTAATGACTGTGGAAAAGCCTTTGGACAAAAGTCACACCTCATCATACACCAGCAAATTCACACAGGGGAGAAACCTCATAAATGTAATTACTGTGGAAAAGCCTTTGGAAGAAAGTCATACCTCATATTACACCAGAGAATTCACACAGGGGAGAAACCTCATGAATGTAATGACTGTGGAAAAGCCTTTGGAGGAAAGTCAGACCTCATGAAACATCAGCGAATTCACACAGGGGAGAAACCCTATGAATGTAATTACTGTGGAAAAGCATTTGGAAGAAAGTCACACCTCATCATACACCAGCGAATGCACACAGAGGAGAAACCTCATAAATGTAAAGTCTGTGGAAAAGCCTTTGGACAAAAGTCAGACCTCATCATACACCAGCGAATTCACACAGGGGAGAAACCTCATAAATGTAATGACTGTGGAAAAGCCTTTGGACAAAAGTCACACCTCATCATACACCAGCGAATTCACACAGGGCAGAAACCTCATGAATGTAATGACTGTGGAAAAGCCTTTACACAAAAGTCACACCTCATCGTGCACCAGAGAATTCACACAGGGGAGAAACCTCATAAATGTAATGACTGTGGAAAAGCCTTTGGACGAAAGTCATACCTCATGAAACATCAGCGAATTCACACAGGGGAGAAACCTCATAAATGTAATGACTGTGGAAATGCCTTTGGACAAAATCACACCTCATCGTGCACCAGAGAATTCACACAGGGCAGAAACCTCATAAATGTAATGACTGTGGAAAAGCCTTTGGACAAACATCATACCTCATGAAACATCAGTGAATTCATACAGGGACAAACCTCATAAATGTAATGACTGTGGAAAAGCATTTGGAAGAAAGTCACACTGCATCATACACCAGTGAATGCACACAGAGGAGAAACCTCATAAATGTAAAGACTGTGGAAAAGCCTTTGGACACAAGTCAGACTTCATGAAACATCAGTAATTCACACAGGGGAGAAACCTCATAAATTTAATGACTGTGGAAAAGCATTTGGAAGAATGTCACACCTCATATTACACCAGAGAATTCACACGGGGCAGAAATCTCATGAATGTAATAACTGGAAAAGCCTTTGTATGAAAGTCACACCTCATCATACACCAGAGAATTCACACAGGGGAGAAACCTCATAAATTAAAAGACTGGAAAAGCATTTGGACACAAGTCATACCTCATATTACACTAGAGAATTCACACAGGGGAGAAACCTCATGAATGTAATGACTTTGGAAAACCTTTGGACAAAAGACAAAACTCATATCACAGCAGAGAATTCACACAGGGTAGAAAACTCATGATTGTAATAACTGGAAAGCATTTAGCCATAAGTCAACCTTCATCATGCATCAGAGAATTCACAAAGGGCAGAAACCTTATGTATCTAATGAGTGTGGGAAAGCCTTTATAAATCATATGTTATAAATCATAGCTCATATCATACCAGAGAATTCACACCAGGGAGAAACTTCATGAATGCAATGACTGTAGAAAAGCCCTTGGCAACAAGTCACATCACAGAATGCGTCAGAAAATTCACATGAAGAGAAACCTTTTGGACATAATGACTTAGAAAGGTTTGTCCCATAGTTCGGCCCTCATTGCACATCATCTAATTCATATGGGGGAAAACACTTTGGATATAATACATATGGAAAAGCCTTTATCCATAAGTAACACTTCATAAAACATCAGAATTCACATGGGGGAGAAACCATATGAATGGAATGAGTGTTGGAAAACTATGTCAAAATCACACAATATAACATCAGAAAATTTATTACATGGTGGAAATCTTGTAATAAATATGAGAAAGCCTTTTGTCCGAAGGAATACCTCATAACACATGTAGTTCAAACAAGGGAGAGAACTTAAGAATATAATGAATGTGAAGGACTTTTTCCAAAATCAACATAACCTTGTGACAGAGCCTTTTGCTGGAAATTGCATCCCATACAATAGGCACTCCCATAAGGAAGAAAGGTTGGGACCAGCGCTGTGGCACAGTAAGTTAAAGCCCTGGCCTGAAATGCTGGCATACCTTGTGGGCACCAGCTCTAGTACCGGCTGCTCCTCTTCTGATCCAGGTCTCTGCTATGGCCTGGGAAAGCAGTAGAAGATGGCCCCGCACCCACGTGGGAGACCCAGAAGAAGCTCCTGACTCGTGGCTTTGGATCACTGCAGCTCCAGCCATTGCATCCATCTGGGGAGTGAATCAGTGGATAGAAGACCTCTTTCTGCTTCTTTGTCTCTCTGTAACTTTGTGTTTCAAATAAATAAAGTAAATTGTTAAAAAAATGAAGTTCAGAAATATTATTAGTGTGACAAAAAGCCATTTGTCAGAAATTGATCATTATACATCATAAAATTCACACAAGGGGTTTCTTAGGAGTGTAATGAATGTGGAAGTATATTTTCATGGAATTCAGGCTTCATAAATATGCAACTCAAAAAGTGATATCCTTCAAGTGCAATAGACCTTAAAAATTCATAGCCAGAAATTAAACATCAGGCTGGCGCTGTGGTCCAGTAGGTTAATCCTCCATCTGCGATGCTGGCATCCCATATAGGTGTCAGTTCTAGTCCCAGCTGTCCCTCTTCAATCCAGCTCTCTTCTGTGGCCTGGGAAAGCAGTAGAAGACAGCCCAAGTGCTTGGGCCTCTGCACCCACATGGAAGACCAGGAAGAAGCAACTGGCTCCTGGCTTTAGATCAGTGCAGCTCTGGCCATTGTGGCCATTTGAGGAGTGAACCAACAGAAGGAAGACCTTTATCTCTGTCTCTCTCACTGTAACTCTACCTGTGAAACAAATAAAAATCTTAAAGAACAAGAAATTAAACATCAACTAACACCAGAGAATTCATACAGTAAAATGTCAATTTAATGAATGTGAAAAAATTCTTCTGCCATTAATCAATTCACATAAAGAGACTCAGAAATGAGAAAACATACATGCATAGAAAAGTCATGTATCATACGTCACCTCTCAATGGTTACCTGACAACTCACAGAAAGAAAAAATCCTATGACTGTATTATAATGGGAAATACCTTTATTATTAGGGAAACTTCCACAAAACATAGCAAGATTACAGAGAGAAGTCCCTGAAATATAATTTGTTTGGAAGAATTCTTTGGTGGAATCACATCTTAATGAGTATTGGGCAGTTTTCATGATGAATTGTGACAGAGAGTGGTTAACTGTTGTTCAGAAATTTTTCTCTTATACAACCTGAACTTTTGGTTTCTCATGATTGTGAGTGGAATCAAGTATATGAACTGAACTGTGCTCTCTTGTGTAAGTTTTGTTAATAAATATTTAAAAATTGAGTAACAGTTATTTCAACAGTTATTTGGAATACCATCTTTATCAATTACAAAATTATTTGTTTTATAGCCGCTTTCTTGGCCACCCAGGATTCTTTCCCCACATTATTGTAGTGCAAACCAGTGATGTGACAATAGGCATACCAAGTGACACATGTTCCAGCCATAATAGTGTACCCCGGCCCTGGATAATAAGTGTTGTGTGCAACACAAGGGAATGAGTTTGTGGTGACCTATATACCCATGAGAAATTTCAACTTATCTGTGTGTACATCTGGATTAGACTCCACTACCCAAGGTCTATTTGAATATGGAAGTAGATGTTGTTGCATACATTACCCTCATTCTTTAAAGGGACAACCTCAAACCCTATAAGTTGCAACACTCATCTGAATTTTCCTGTATTACTGAGTGCATAATGCGTTTTTCATTCATGATGCCCCTTTTCTACAGTTTTTCATTATATTTCTAATTGCCGTGAGACAAGAACATGGAATGAAGTCTATTCATGTGGTAGCCATTGCAACAGAGAAGCAGGAGCATAAATGTAGTATACTTTAAAAAAAAGAGAGATTTATTTATTTGAAAGTCAGATTACACAGAAAGAGCAGAGGCAGAGAGAGAGAATCTTCCATCCTGTGGTTCACTCTCCAATTGGCCACAATGGCCAGAACTGTGCTGATCCAAAGCCAGGAGCTTCCTCCAGATCGCCCATGTAGGTGCAGGGGCCCAAGCATTTGGGTCTTCTACTATTTCCCAGGCCATAGCAGAGAGCTAGATTGGAAGTGGAGCAGCCAGTTCTTGAACCGGCACCCATATGGGATGCCAGCACTTCAGGTCAGGGCATTAACCTGCTGTGACACAGTGCTGGCCCCTATAGTACACTTTTGTCTTAATTTAACTTTACTATAATTTTATAACCTTTTTTGTTGTATTATTCCCTGCTCTTACAGGTGGCCCTCATTTTTATTGAAAATGTGTGTTTTTATTCCTTCCGATTTACAAAGTCCTTTCTGGATTTATATAAATCTGATTTACATTCAGTTAATTCCTCAGGATACCCTTAGGAGGAACACTTTTTCTAGGTTGCATGGTTATCCCATGATAACAGGGCTACAAATGCTATGATGCATCTAGCTGCAGTAGCTCTTTTATTTCCCATCTAGATAATAGCTATGCAACTAATCCATTTCACCTCCATTACTACCCATGAAAAATAGCTCTTCATTCCTGTTTAAGTCCCCACAGCTTCTTACAAATGTTCATCAAATTAAATCTTATTATAAACAGATTTAATAGAAAATGAATGATGTAGCTGCTGGTAGTTTCAGTGAGGTTGAATGATTTGCTGTACTGCTGTTTTGTCTGGGTTATCTTTCATATTACTTAGAACTATTTTTTCACAATATTGCTTGCCTGAGCACTTTTTCCTAGGCTCCCAGCTAAACAGGTATTTGAAGACTAGATTTACTGTTAATTCTCACTAAGGACAGAGGTCCCACATGGAGAGCACAGACCTTATGTGGTCCTTGGAACATAGTGAATATTACACCTACTTGATTTAGTACTCAGGCACTGGTCTTCACTGAAGAGCAGAACTCAGCTGAACAGAATATAACTCCCTTCTGATTAAAAAAAAGATTTACCATGCCAAACCTGGGTGTGTCACCTTAGGCATACCCTTTCCCCTTGAAAACTGAACAGAACTCTCTGGCCACACCCACTACAAGCCTCTAGAGATTCACTGAAAGCAGAAAGTCCTTTTATCTACAGTCATAATACAATGATAAAAACTGCCAGAAAAAAAAATGAGTATCTTCACAAATGCCAAACAAATGCAAGAATCCAAGAAGCAAGAATAAGGAAAACATCATCATGCTCCCAAAAGAACATCACATTTCAATACTAGATCATGAAGATGATGAGATAGAAGAAATGCAAGAAATAGAACTCAAAAATTTGGTCATAAGATTACATAGAAGTAATCAAAAGCAAATGCACAAACTACTGAAATCCATGAAGGACATGAAAGAAAATCTCTCCCATGAAATAAAAATTATCAGGAAGAATCAAGATGAAAAGAATTCAACAGAATATGAAATTGAGACATTAAAAAGAAATCAAAATGAAATGAAGAATTCAATAAAACAAATAAAAAATGCAGTGGAGAGCCTTAAAAATAGAATCAGTGAGGCAGAAGAGAGAATACCAGACTAAGTAGACAGAGTGCAGGAAAATATACAGTCAAACCAAACAGAAGAACAGGAGATTAGAAATCTAAAAAAGACTGTTGGGAATATACAGGATACTATAAAAATAAACCAACATTCTGGTTCTAGGAGTTCCTGCAGGCATGGAGAGAGAGAAAGGATTAGAAGGCATTTTTAGTGAAATACTAGCAGAAAACTTTCCAGGTTTGGAAAAAGAGACATCCAAGTACAGGAAGCACACAGAAATTTGAATAGGCATGATCAGAAAACATCCTTGCCATGACACATTGTAATCAAACTGCCACAGTGAAACAAAAAGAGAAGATTCTAAAATGCGTAAGAGAAATGCTAGATTACTTTCAGAGGATCTACAATTAGACTCACAGCAGACTTCTCATCAGAAACCCTGCAGGCTAAGAGAAAATGGCAAAATCTAGCCCAAGTCTTAAGAATAAAATTGTCATCCCAGATTATTATACCCTGCAAAGCTCTCATTTGTGAATGAAGGTGAAATAAAGACCTTTCATAACAAACAGAAATTGAAAGAATTTGCCACCACTTGTCCAGACCAGCACGATTTCTTCTTTTTTATTCCACTGTGGCGGATTTTATTTTTGTACTATGACTCTGTAGATAAGTGGACTTTCTGCTTTCACTGAATCTCTGGAGGCTTGTAGTGGGTGTGGCCAGAGAACTCTGTTCAGTCTCTGGGGTTAAGGGTGTACCTCAGGTGACACACCCAAGTTTGACATGTTAAGTCTTATTTCTCCTTTTTTTAATCACAAGGGAAGTATATTCTGCTCAGTTGGGCTCTTCTCAATGGAGACCAGTGCCTGAGTACTAGCCCCAGTGGGTATAATATTTGCTCTGTCCAAAGAACCACACAAAGGATCTGTGTAGTCCTCAGTATAAGTTCAGATTCTCCAGAAATGTCTCTCATCAGGTAACCAGGAACCCCCAAGCTTGTGGCCTCTCCCACTGAGAGTGCTCAAAGTCCCAGCCACACCGCGAGTCTTCCCACACACCCTCAGTTTTTTATTTTTTCACAGTCTTGCTTCAGAAGTTTCACACAGTCACAAGTTCCTGGCTTCCTGTTATTTCTCCCTACCAGCATCAGGAGTCTCCACTCGGCTGCTTGCCTTGTGCAGACACAAGCTGGCACAGCTGTTATGTATGTCCAAAATGGCTCCTGCTCTATCAGCTTGCATGCCTTTGTGAGGTGATTGGAGAGAGAGAAATGTGTCTGTACTGTCCCTTTTTTTTCTCTCCTCTAGTTTGGCTGGCACACTTTCCCTTGGAGATTTAAGCCTCATTCCCTCTAGGTTCCTGCCACATTTTTGCCAGTGGCTCAGGCTACTGTGGTCTTGTCTCACCTCACTTTCCAGTTCTGGTGCATAGGCTCTCAGCTGTTGGAGTCATGAGCCGTGGGCCCCATGCCCTCCATGTGGGTCCACCGTGTCCCTCTCATGTCAGTAGAATTTCCTCTGTCATTTTTTCCCTAACTCTTCCCTGAGACTACTCTATTTCCACTTTTTAAAAACTATCTTCTCCTGGGCTAGAGCAGTAAGCTTCCTCCCTACTCTACCATCCAATTATTAGCCCATCTCTATGATTATGACTGTTTCTTCCAAATTACTAATTTATACACCATATAATCAAAATTAAATGCCTTCCATGGAATGCATATTTATGTTGTCATTTACTACTATCACCTAATGTGTAATGAATAACCCGATTTGTGACATTCCTAACACAGGGGAAATGATGGGTACCATGGTCTGATTTGTAAATTGTGTGGTCATCAAACTCCCTCTAAATGCTGGAAAGTTGTCCCCAGCAACTGTCATGTGTATAGGATTTGAGTACATTGCAGTGCCAGAACCATCATGGTCATCAGCATAGGATACATTCTTAATGTTTCTAGATGCTCCTGGGACTGTAAATTATTTTCTGATTGTGGAAATTTTCCAAACTGCAAGTCTGTATCATACTGTAATTTTTCCAGTTTATTCTGGACTGTTTTTTCACCAAATATTCATCCACATATTTGTTTTTTAATTATGGCTCACATTAAAATACACATTGTTACTAAGGGCAAGGCAAAGTTTTAACATCCATGTGCATCAGGTTTCTATTTTTTATTTTGTCTTCCATTTTATTAATTTCATCTGAGTATGTCAATATCCACATGGAAAGCAATCTTAGCACTGCCAAGGTATGATGATTCTTTTGGGCACTTATATTTTCATATCATGAATGCACTAAATAATGTTCAAGTTGTCTTAGCAACATCCATCTTTATGGCCTATCAAATAATTTTAGAACATAACATTCTTTTACACTTTCAAGGACAATTTTTTTATAGCTTCTTTATATTTCGAGAATCAAAATTGTCATTCTCTTTAAAATTTCCATGCATTAGATCAAGACAATTTTATCTTGGCTTTAAAATTACTGAATTCAATGGCATAAGCTTTCTTTGATTTAAGAGAGCATAAATTTTCTGTATTTAAATGTGTATTTAGGGCTATTTTTTATTAATATCTGTTACATCTCCTTGTAACCTTATTCCTGCTTCTACTAAATTTACCATTTGTACACAGAACTCTCAGTATACAATACATTTCTCTATTTTTCATGTTGATTCAAATTTATTATTACCACCTCAATAAATAATAACCTAATTTGTGCCAATTCTAGTGCAGGAACTTCAGGCTACCATGATTTACTTTAACATTGTAAGGCCAACAAATTCTGGAGGATGTACAAATTTTATTTTCACAGTACATGAGAACAATT